CCTGGGCTCGCTGTTCTGCAAGTCACAGGGCTTCTGAACAGCCGGTTCCCCTGGACGTTGCTCACATTGGCGGGTCCAGCCCGGCGGCAACATGCTGCGCTGACCGCCCTGGGTCCCAGACCCGCCCCCGAGCACTGCCCGCAGCCCCATAGGACGGCCAGGGAGGGCGGACCCTTGGGGTGCCGCGTGGGGGACCCGGGCTCGAGGCCCTTCCTAGACTCCCCTGTGGAGCAGACCAGCTCCGCCCCACCCACGCGGGCCGTCACGACTTTGTTCACACCTGACTTCTGGGGAGTGTGTGGCCCCGGGTGTCCCAGGGGGCCGTGCCTGGAAGTGCCCAGCGGTGGCTCAGCGCCCCAGCGCTGCTGGGTGGAGGCCAGTGTGGAGCGGGGTGGCCCGGCGTGGCCGTGGGCCTGCAGGACACAGTGGGTGCCAGGCCAGGCCAAGAGGCCAGGCTGCGAGCTGCACAGAGGTGACCTCTCCCAGCCTCCCCCTAGACCCCTTCAGCGGGGTCGTGACACCATCACAGTCAGGGGGTGCGAGGGCACGTAGCTAAGGCAGGGCACGCACCTGGTGGGGCGACGGCCCCTCGGGCAGGTGTCCCCTTCCCCCTCCCCCCCCCGCGCCAAGCCCTGTCCCGCGGTGCTCGGCTGAGGAGAGGTGCTGGACGAACACGTGTCTCTCGTCCCCGCAGTTGTCACCAACGTTAAGACCTGGCTGCTGTTCCTGCCTTTCGCCCCCATGAAGACGAAGGCCTCGGTGCTGCTGAGCATCGGCGTGTTTGTGGCATTGCTGACTCTCTCTGGCCTGGTGGTGCTCGGGCATTTGCTCATCTTTCACCTGTACTTGAGTACGTGACCCCAGCGTCCGGGCCGACCGCCTGGTCTCCGCCCCCGTGCGCTGTCAGCCCCCTGCTGGCCTCTGCCAGAGACTCGCCCCGGCCCCAAGCACAGACCGACGCCCCGAGGGGCAGCAGGACAGATTCCGTCCCAGGGCTGCGGAGAACGGGAGGGATGCAGGGCAAGAGGCTAACGCGCTCAGAGACGGGTCCAGGGCACGGCGAAGACGTTCGGTTCGGTGACAGTGCGTCACTCGCCTGACATGCTGCTAGAGGACTCGCTCGTGTCCACACGGCAGCACGTGGCACGTGGCTCCGTCGTGCCCGTGAATGGGGCCAGCGTGGCACCCCCGCCCAGCGCCCGTCTGGCAGTCGTGGCGGTTACTCCCTAGGAGGAGGCGGCACTGGGGGCTGTGGGAGCTGGTCCAGAGCGGGGACGTCCCCAGCTGAGCCTGGGAGGGCAGAGAAACAGCACCCGAAGCTCCGGGGTGCACGGCGGGGTGTGTAGGGGCCTCAGCGCTGCAGGCTGGGCCTGGCCGGGATGGGAGGAGGAAGGGGTCGCCGAGAATCCCAGAGCCACAGGATGTCCTGTCCGGCAGAGGTGTGAGGAGGGACTTCCGGGGTTCTGATGCGGGTGGCCCGAGAGGAGAGGTGCCACGCTCACTGGGAGTGAGCACGCTCGGCAGGGGGCCTGAGTGGGGGCACCTGAGGTCAGGCCATACCCGCGTGTGCTAGGGTAGCAGGGCGTCAAGTTACAGGTTTCCAGGAAGAAGTTGGAGTGTTATAGTAAAACCACCAACATGTGGTCTTGAAGCTGCACGTTTCCCGCCTCGGCTCTGCACTTTGGACCAGCACCTCGCTGTGTCCCCCGGCCTGGGCCCTCCGTGGGCCTCGGTCAGGTGCGGCAGGGGCTATGGTCCCACCTGCCTGGGGCAGGCCCACCGCCAGCCCAGCAGGGCCAGTCCTCGCGAGTTGCTGGCCAGTGGCAGCCTTCCGTTCCTTGTCACGTGGCTGCGCACACGTGACGGAGCATGTCATCGCAGGCAGCTGGCTTCACCAGAGAGAGCGAATAAGAGGCAGCGAGACAAGCCGGCCTCTGTCACCCAGGCACGGGTGGGACAGCCTGTCACAGGAGCAGTGCTCCAGAGACGGGGCACCCGGAGCCTAAGCACCCTGTGGTGGGTGCCACGGGAGACACGTCAGAAGCTGCTGGCAGCCGGGAGCTCCATTTCTAAGCTTGGGAGAGGACACCCCGGCTCGTCCCTGGAACACGGGGGTGAAGCTGACAGGCGGGTGGACCCCTGGCCGGGCGGGAGGACGAGGGGGCCTGCGGCAGAGGCACAAAGAGAAGGCACGTTCACTGCAAACGGAAGAGAAGGCGTCTCGGCTGAGGTTAGGGACAGCGGGCTCCACAGACGGCCCAAGCCTGATGGCGTCGGGGACGCGGGCGCACACCGCACAGGGCTGCAAAGGTCCTCGAGGGTGCCGTGCTGCGTGTGCTTTGCTTTATCGTCACGTTTGATGTTTCACACGAAGCTTGGAGGGGGTGTGGCACGGGGAGACACACCGGGCGTGCCTACCAGTCGACTTGGAGGGGATCGGCGCCAACCCACGCACAGGCATGACCACTTCCGCTGGACGACAGGCGCGGGCAAGCGTGTGTCCTCCGACCGTGACCCGGTCGAGGAGGGGCGTGGAGGAACCCGTCAGAACCCAACAAGACGGGCGCGCGCCGGGGCTGCCAGGGCCGGGCGGGCCGCGGTGGCGTCCAGGGGCCTCGCTTCCCAGAAAAGGTAGCACGCCGTCTGCCCGCGTGCTTGCGGCTTTAGGGAGAGAGCGACGGGCAGCCCGGCCCCTCGTGGACGCACGCGCTGGGACAGGCTCCAGCCCATTCTCAGTGACGCTGCTTTTCCACTGGCCCACGCACCCGCGTGTCCTTCGGATGGCCTGAGTGTCCTGCCACACGCTGGTGCCACCGTCACGGCCGAACTCGAGTGCGCGCTGGGCATGGTGCCTGCCCCAGGCTGGCCCTCCTTCTGCAGGCGGGCCGGGCCCGCAGGCCTCCGGCGAGTGCCAGGAGCTGCCAGCCGCTGCCCAGAGGCCACCAGGGCTCTGGAGTGGCCGTCCAGCGGCTTACGGCGCCCTGGGTCGGGAGATGCCCAATGCCCGGGGGCGGCCCTGGGCTGGGCCGTGGCGCATCGTGGCCCGCTGGCGCTATGTGCACCGCACACAGCTGCTGGCCGGTGACTGCCTGCCCCTTCTCTCTCCTTCCAGTGTCGAACGGGCTGAGCACACTTGAGTACATTACACGCGGCCACAAACAGCAGGTGTCTAAAGACCCGGCACCGGTCAAAAACCCATCCTCCAAAACGGAATCGCCACAGGTACCGATGTCCCCGTGCTTCATCGTCCTTGTGTGTCCAGGGCTGGGACGAGGCCTAAGGTCACCTAAGTGGCCGGGGCCACTTAGCCACAGTCCTTCGCTTCTGTGCGGGCATAGTCCTGTGGGACTGTGTGTGCGCGCGTGTGTGTATGTGTGTGTCTGTGTACATGTCAGTCTGTGTGTGCATGAGTGTGTGCACGTGTCTATGTGTGCATGTGTGTGCCTATATGTGTGTGTGCACAGGTGTGTGAGTCTGCATGTATCTGTGTGCCTATGCATGTGTGTGCCTGTGTCTGTGTGTGCACGTGAGTCTATGTGCATGTGTTTGTGCATGCCTGTATCGTGTGCATGGGTGCATGAGTCTACGTGTGTCTGTGTATGTCTGTGCATGTGTGTCCCTTGCGTGTATCTGTGCGTGCATGTGTGCATGTGCATGACTGTGAGTGTATGTACATGGGTGCGTGAGACTGTGTGTGTCTGTGTGTGCATGCCTGTGAATGTCTGAGTGTACATATGCACGTGTGTGTGCATGGACTCATGTATCTGTATGTGTGTTTGTGTGCATGTGCATGCCTGTGTCTGTGTGCTTGTGTGTGGGCACACGTATGTGTATCTGTGTGTGTTCCTGTGCACGTGTCTATGTGTGCATGTTCGTGCCTGTGAGTGTGTCTGTGTGTGTGTCTGTGTGTGTGTGCATGTGCATGCTGTGTGTCTGTATGTGTGAGTGGGCACACGTTTGTGTGGGCACGTGCATGTCTGTGTGTGTCTGTGTGTGTCTGTGTGTGTGCCTGTGTGTCTGTGGATGTGTGTGGGGGCACATGTATTACGTGGACATGTGCATGTGTGCGTGTGCATGTGTGTGCTGTGTGTGCCTGTGTTTGTGTGCGTGGGCACACACATGTGTCTGCATGTGTCTGCACATGTGTGCCTGTGTCTCTCTGTGCATGTGTGTGCATGTGCATGCATGCGTGTGGGCACGTGTATGTGTGTGAGTGGGCACACACATATGTGTCTGTGTGTTTCTGTGCATGTGGCTGTGTGTGTGTGGCTGTGCCTCTGCATGCATGTGTGTGTATGTGCATGCATGTGTGTGGGCACATGTATGTGTGAGAGTGGGCACACATGTATGTGTCTTGTGTGTTTCTGTGCATTGTCTGTGTGTGCATGTGTGCATGTGTGCATGTTCATGCCTGTGTCTTCGTGCACGTGTGGATGTACGTGTATGCGTGTACGTGCATGTGTGTGTGGGCACACGTGTGTCTGTGTGCACGCGTGTGCTCCGTTGTTTCCACATCCACACTAGCAGCAGGCTGACTCCCTCAGGCCCACTTGTTTCTGCAAATGCTGCCCAACGGCACCGGAAGTACTTGCTCCTCCAAGGTACGGTTAAGATGAAAATATAAGCCACAGACAGAAGAAATAAAATATCTGTAAGTCATATACTGGTATTCAGAACATGTAACAAACTGTCAAAACTCAATTATGAGAAAAGTGACCCAGTTTTTCAGACGGGCAAAAGACTTGGACAAACTGCTGGCCAAGGTGGGGCCGTGGGTGGCAGGCAGCGCGCACGGGGCTGGCTGGCCGTGTTCGGTGTGAGGGGCATGTGAGGGAAAGCCAGACGGTGCCACCAGGCACGGTGGCGTGGCTGAAGTGAGGAGCACTGGCCGTGCCACGCGCTGGCAGAACCGCGGGGTACTGGCCACCGCCCACGTCGCCGGCGAGAATGTCGGCCATGCCCCTGGGAAAGTGTCCTGTCGTTTTCTCAGAGCCTGACAGACACATCTGTCCTGGGAACCAGCAGTCCCGTTCCTGCTGTTTCACGAAGGGGCAGGGAACACACAAGTGTGCGAGTCACGGCAGGTGGGAGCAAGGGTGCTGTCGCCACGTGAGGTCCCCTCCCAGGGCCCAGGGGACGCTGAGGTACCGGTGCTGAGAATCGACTGAAAATGGCTTGGACTTTGTGGGAGACGAGCTCGGTGTCAACAACTGCCTTTTAAATGTTCTCTGTTTCCTCCGATTCCTCACAGCAAACCGACGACAGCCCGAGACCAAGTACATGCAGGTGAGTTGGGATGCCACGAGCGTGGTGTCGGGAAGCCGGCCGGTCTTGCTTCGGGGGCCCCCTCTCGCGGGGCTGTGCAGACGCCCTCCGCGCCCTGTGCTGCTTCCATCCCGTCCGTTTGCTGCCTTTGCCTTTGCCTCCCGCGCCATCTGTATTTTTGCGCTCACTGAGATAGGAGCTAAGTTGTTTCATCGTGGCATGACCGGTGGTCGCCACGTGACCTTCCTCGTCAAAGAGAAAGGTCCCTTTCCTGACACCCCGGTTCCCACGGACACCGGGCTCGGGTCCGCCCGGACGCTGGTGTCGCCTCGCTGCTCCGTGTCCCACTGCGGTGCGTTCTGTTCCAATGACGAGGCTTCCTCAGCTGCCTCGTAACACCTGGCGGGTGAGCCCCCTCTTAACAATCTCATCTCTTGTTACTTTTGACAATTCTTTCACGTATTTATTTTTCCGGGTCAGCTTTAAAATCACTTTGCGCAGTTACAGGAGCGCTGGCTTTGGGCTGGCTCGCGCCAGTGCGGGCGCCGCGTCCTACGGCCCTCCGCACGATTGCGCTTGCGGAGAATATGTTTGCTCTTCGCAAACTGAAGGTTTGCGGGGACCCGCACCCACAGGCCGAAGGTCTGCGGGGACCCGCACCCACGGGCTGAAGGTCTGCGGGGACCCGCACCCACGGGCTGAAGGTCTGCGGGGACCCGCACCCACGGGCTGAAGGTCTGCGGGGACCCGCCCCCCAGGGCTGGGACCCGCACCCACGGGCTGAAGGTTTGCGGGGACCCGCACCCAGCAGATGGCGCCGCTATTTTCCGGCAGCATTTGCTGGCTCCCTATCTCCGTGTCACGCTTCGGCAGTTCACGCAAAACGCTCGTATCTGTTTCGAGGTCTGCGTGTGGTGATCTTGGGTGTCACTGCTGGAGTTATGTCAGGCCCCGAGCCGCACGCTTAAGCATGGTGACCGTCACGGATGGACGCTGAGTGCGCTCTGGCCGCCCCCGGCCGGCCGGCCCATCTCGCTCCCTGTGCTCAGGCCTCCCTGAGCAGACACGGGATGGAGAATCCCCAGCGACTCCTCCGCGTTCCAGGGCAGTCGCATGTCCTTCGCTTTACAGCGGAAGCTGGACGCGACCAGGCCGGGTGGGCAGGGCCCGTCGACAGCAGCGTTGAGCACAAGCTCGGCCTCTTGCGACCAATGGAGCTGAGCTGCGACTCCAGAGGAGACGTCCGTGAAGGAGGCGGCAGGTGTGGCCACAGCGGTCAGCTCGCATGCCTTCGGGCGCCGCCACAGCCACCGTGTCCCCTGCCCACCACGAGGCTCCTGGGCGTGGGGCCCGCCTCTCCCTCCAGCCTCCCCGACGCCCTCCGCGTCCTCGCCCGTCGGTCCACGTGCCGACACCGCCCTGCCCCACGCGCACCTGGAGCTGCTGTGGGACGTGGCCGCAGCGGTGACGCTGGGCTCCGAGGCGCACGGCATTCAGACGTCAGCCGAGCGGCGTGCGGCCCCCGGCACCCACGGGCAAACGCCCGCGGCCTTCACACAACATGCAGCACCTCGCAGGACCCGCCGCCCGAAGCCAGGCCCCTCCTTGCTGATGGGTCTTCCTCCCTTCGGCTGCCTTTCAGGTGCCCGAGCTGGTGCTCAGCCACCACCATGAAGCCAGAGACCAGTGCGCAGCCAGGGGCCACCGCGCAGCCAGGGGCCACCGCGCAGCCACAGGTAAGCTCAGAGCCACCGGGCTGCACCTCGAGTGCAGGGTCCGAGGACCCCCAAAAGGAGGGTAGTGCAATGTTTGGAACCGATTACTTGACTAATTTGAAGCATTTATGTGGTAGCCAAGGATGGGAACGAAGGTGGGTGGGGACAGAGGAAAAGTGAGGGACAGAAAATATGCCTAACTGTGGGGTTTTCATTGTGTGTGTGTGTGTGTGTGTGTGTGTGTGTGTGTGTGTGTGTGTGTGTGTGTGGTGTGTGAGTGCGTGATGCGTGAGTGTGTATGTGATGTGTGTGTGGATGTGTGTGTGTGTGTCAGTGTGTGATGCGTGAGTGTGTGAGTGTGAGTGTGTGGCCCGGTGCCTGTGAGGTCACGTCTGACCTGTGTGTGCTGTGTCATTTCTGTGACCACTCTTTGCAAGGTCAGGCAATGGGCTCCTTCTTCAGGCCCGACCATTCTCGCAGCTGCTGTCAAGGTCAGCGGCTGGGCTGGGGTCCTGAGGGTTTATTGTAAGCAGGGTGTGCGACTCTGCTGACTTCTGAAGGTCATGGGCGGCTTTGCTCCCTCTGAGGGCGGCTGTCTCACTGCTCCATGGGGGCGTCGAGACAGAGCCCCTTGTAATCACGTAGACGTGGAGGGGGTCGACACCCCCTTTCATGACAGAGAATGTGTCGGCAGCCTTCTCTTTGGCTTGCACTACTTTGGGGACTTCTGAGACACAGTGGGTGGAAGCCATGACGCCTCCAGCCTGCTCCCACCCCAGACCCGGCCCCCAAACGCTGCCCCCCACTCTAAGCCAGCAGCAAGTGGCCAAGGGTTTTCCTGTGCCATCATTAAAACCAGGGCGGCCCTATGTTCTGGTTTGCCTGGGGCAGTCCTGGTTGGCACCAGTGCCAGTCCTGAGTGCAAGGCCACTACTCTGACAGACACTCGCCTGTCACAATCAGTCTGCCAAATCCCACGCAGGACCCTGCCCCCAGCTACGGCCGGACTCAGCCCGTTCAGACTGCAGCTCCCTCCCCAGCCTCAGCCAGGCTGGCTAAGTGCTCAAGGACCTGAAATCCCAAATAGGACAGAACTTCGTGGTGTAGAAGTAGGAACATGGGTTCAGGTCTCGTAAACTGTCCTATACTGAATTATAAATGTTCCAAGGTTGAAATACGCTTCATTACTTAAGGATTTATCATTCTCCCCAATTGACACGAATGCCGAAACTGAGTCAGGAAGGGATAGGAAACCCAAATAGACATATAACAAGTAAAGACACAACTACAAATCTACAACTGCCTGTAAGGAAAATCTCAGGCCCTGATGACTTCATTTGTGAATTCTCCCTAATATTTTAAGAAAAAAATATCAACCATGCATAAACTCATTCAAAAAACAGAGCCATTCTCTGAGGCCTGTACATAACACCAAGCCAGACGCCATCGTTGCAAAACAATAGCAGAAGCCGTAATCATTCCTGAGCGTGGAGGTGAAGGTCATCACCAAGATGGTGGCAGCACGAAGGCAGTCACGGCCACGCAGGCTGCGCACTGTGCGTGCGGTTCGTTCTATGAATGCAGCGGCTTTAACGTCTGCAAATAACTTAATGTAATCCGCGCAGCAGTAAAGTAACGGGCCGTAAACATGAGCACATCCCGCAGATAAAGGCATTGCCATGATAACACATCTATTTATGACAAAAAGATTCATAACCTAGGAGGAAAAGGGAAGGCCCCTCATGCTGGTAGAGAGGACCAGTGACACGGCCATTCCATCTGAATTCATGCTGACGGAGTTCTCTAAGGAAATGTGACAAACCTCAAATGGATACAGGAATCAGAGGACTGAGCCAAAAAACTTAAAGACAGAAGCAAGTGGACCTTACATGACTGTACAGCGTGTGGCCGGGTGAGGACAGTCACGCAGATCCGGGGGCAGGACAGAGACCCCAGAAGTGAGTGTGTCATCTCTGGTCCACGCACCGTAAGTGACGACGCAGAGGTCTCGACGGGGACGATGGGAGCACTGGCAGTAAGAGGAGCTGGAGGGAGGACGGCCATCGCCACAGGCCGGATGACAGCATTAGCAAACCCTGTGCTTTCTGCAGACTACATAGGGAACTTTCAGAGCTCCATAGTGAGAGGGAAACCCCAGTGTTTAAAACGCGGAAAGTGTGAACGACTCTTCACCAAAAGCTATGAACATGCGGGCCAGTGGCACGTGAGCACATGCTCACGCCTCCACGGTAGGTAAACACACCCGACCGCAGCGTCTACCACGCATCGCTGTGATCAAAATGATCATGTGCAAGTGTCCGAGTGGGAAGACCGCCAGTTCCTAGCAAGAGTGTAAATCTCAGCACCTTGACGGAGGGAGGACCGCTGGTCCCTCACGTTCCTAGTGAAAATCTCAGCACCTTGACGGAGGCTCGGCCACGTCTGAAGCCTGACACATGCGCGTGTCCTGTGAACCAGCTGTCCCGTTCTGGGTGTTTCCTGAAGGAGCAGGGAGAACGCAGGTGCACGTGTCACGGGCGGTGGGAGGAGGGGTCCGTCCCAACTGTGTGTCCTAGCCCACACCCAGCGGAATCCGAGGTACAGGACTGAAAATCCAGTACACGCTGGCTTGAACTTTGTGTGCGACGAGCTGAGGGTCAGCAACTTGGGTTTTAATTTCTCGATTTTCACTTACTCCCCTCCCCCCTCACAGGAGCTAAATGACAACTGCAGCTCCTCCGCACCCCGGTAAGTGCGTGCACTCGCCAGCGCTGCTCCGCACTGCAGTCAACTGGGCATCTCAGCATAGGAGCCACAGTGCTCGCTTATTCCCATCTGTCTATGAGCTTCTGCGAGGTTGAGAGTCCAGAACCTCTTTGTGCCTCTCCTTGGGGACCCACAGCCTCTGTCTCTGTCCGCACGCTGAGCCATGGGCCCCCACCCTTGGCAAACTCAAAATCTCCCTCCTGCCAAATGTGGGGACTTTGCTGGCCCCTGCCCTGACCTATGAGGAGCAT